TTTTTTGCAATCATTAGTTCATTTCGCTTGAGGAGTCACAATGCCCATACCGGCTTTTTTTGAAATTTCGGACACAAGTTTTCCAATAATGGTTATAGGCTAAAACAAAACCGATATCTAAAGGGCGTGTAGAACCTCCCATACAAATCGAATTTTTCAGAGTGCATATCTCTGGAAGTATTTGTGGTAGGGTCCTGGAACTTTGTATGGATATATGTATATGAAGTCAATCTTAAGCTCATGGAAAAATAAGAGTTTATTGGAAAATGCGGCGTGCCACCGTAGAACTAGGAATAGAGGAAAATGAAATCAATCCAAAACCTATGAAAAATGGGGGTATATGAAAACGATCTCAAAGCCATTGAAAGCTAGCGGTATAAACCAAATAAACTAAAATTCTTGTGACGCATAGATACCTCTGGAAGCATTTATTTTTCCAACGGAAATATGTACAGGAAAACGGGCGCGACACCTTCTGGAAAGTAACATGATCACAGGGTGTATCCCAAGAACCATTTTAAGCAAAACCTTCAGGGTTAACATTCTCGCCAAGACCCATAGGTATAAGCTGAAATTGCGTCGCAAGTTTTATGATCGGCTTAGGTAAGGTTTAACCACTTAACCCCCCTTTGTTTTCGTCGCTACTGAATTCTATAAACTGTCAGCTTTCATACAATTTAAAATGTACATGTAAGAACAAAATATTTTTAAATCGACAAAAAATTAATAAGAAAATTTGAAGGATTTTAGATATTGGGTATGGTAGCACGAAATGTCACAATCTGCTTAATTGTCAGGTTGTTAATATGGCGACGAAAAAGTGACAATGGAACTACCTTGTTTTTTGTATCATGGGGCGGAATATTCATCAATTAAATAGAAAAAAATTGAAAACGCGAAACTATTGCATGAAGTGAAAGGGTAATAATAACCTAACCAAAGGCTTGTGAAATGGACTATTTCAAAAACAATTGGACCAATGGACCAAACGAAAAGAAATTGACCAAATTTGGTCCATTTGGACCAAAACGGCAACCGTGCTCACAACACTAAACGAAACGATTCCTATAGTATACATACATGCATACACATTGTGTATATCATATGCAACTGAAAAATGCTTGATGTTCTTATGTTTTCACGTGAAATTTATTAATTAAAATTCATTTAAAAAAATATGTACATACATAGTGATACATGTGTATTAATTTTTATTAAATTCTCCATTAGCTCTAACTGGTAAAATATTTTCCAAATTTATTGGTGTTAATTTGTTCCGCTGGTTGGATAAAATGTACTTCAAGGAAGAACATAACCGCTCCACGCTGACTTGAGTACAAGGGATGGCCAAAATAACTTCAGCTATGGCAGTCATGGAATTGTTTTGATTCTTCCAAAATCCCAGTATATTCTCTCCAAGAGCTATCCTGTGTTGTCGTTCGTACATAAATATATCAGTTTCGATGCGTAAACTCGATGAAGTCGTTGGCTCTTCATTGATAGGCGTAGGGTCTAAATTGGAAAGGAAATCATTTAGTGATTTTGGCGCTGGGCTTGATTGGCTGCTCATTGCGGGCTCATCAATATTTTGTTGCTCGGCGCATGGTACAATAAAAACAGGTAGAAGCCAATTTGACGTTAAACCTACAAAAGTCAAAGTTTTCGGGAGAGTAAAAATAAAAATGTGTAAGGAAAAATAAAAAAATTACATTTCACTGGTTGACGTTTTTAAGTAAATTTTAAGTTTATTTTTATTTATTTATTTTCTTTAGTTAAAATTTGTTAACTCGTATGTTGTTTTCTGTTTTTGATTTATGACATGCAGTGTTGTTGGAGGGACTTTTCGTCATAAGGGTCATAGGAACAGCACTTGGCATCAAACTTGCCTTTCCTGTACCTCCCGGCGTATTTGTGAAATCTGCTCCTTTAAAATGTTTAACACACAGCAAAGCATTTTGCACCTCTGCCCCACAACTGCTTTCACAATGCTCCTTACGCGAAGGATATTGAGGCACCTTAAAAAAATTAGTGGTATCTGCTTTATATTTAACTCCACATAAAAAACAACGCTTCAGGTGTTGCATTTTTAACACATACACTAAGTATAAACCGCACAACGCTACAAAAATTCAATTGTTAATTAAAATTTGTTATTAACGAACATTCAAAAAAACTAACGATATGACATTCAAAGCGTAACGAAATATAGGAAATATAAGAAAAACAAGTTGAAGTTTAAAGGTTTGGTTCTCATGAGAGCAACGTCATTTTGGCTTCTACCTGTATTTGTGTGCCTTGGTTCGGCTCGTGAAATATTTTCTGGGAATATTATTGACAGAAAAAGGCGTGAGTACCAGGTACTCATGAAATTTCATGTGTAAACATCTGCGTACTGCTTGGCAAAGCACTAGGAGATTCAGTTACATATACATATAGCTGTCCATTAACGTCGTTTCCGACTCGTTTTGGTGAACTCGCCGTCGGATGAAAAGTCGCAAAAACGACTTACCGGCGGGTCGCAAAAACGACTCCCCTGCAGTCCGCAAAAACGATATACAAGCGAACTGCAAAACTATGCTCAAAATCTATACCAAATTTAAAGTAAAAGTACAGTTTTATACCAAATTTAAAAAAACTTCATACCCACAAATTTTATTTTTTATTAATAAGGTCAATAGAGTGAACTGTACCTTTATAAAAAAAAAATTAAAATAAAATAAAAATAATATGAAGAATATTATGAATACTGAAAAAAATATGTAGGCGGCTTAATTTTCTGAGTACAAGTGTACATTGTGGATTCCATATTCTGTCATAATAAAAACGGTTTAGTATCCAAATGAATGACTTTTATTTATTCTTATTTATTCAGACCGGAGGTTCCTCAAAAAACTTGTGGGTTCGAAGAAACGGATTCGTTTTGAGTTCACCCAAACGGGCGTGGAACTTGTCCAACCCAGACCGGAGGTTCCTCAAAAAACTTGTGGGTTCGAAGAAACGGATTCGTTTCGAGTTCACCCAAACGACTTCACCAGAGCGACGTCGTTCCGAGTTCACCAAAACGACTTCGCCAGAGCGACGTCGCAACGACGCGGGTAACTGTGCGACCTCTTGTTTGCAAACGAAGGCTAAGATGTTTGCACATAAATAAAAATTTATAAATGTATGTATGTATTTAAAGTATAAACTTATATCTCAACTAGGGAGATAAAAAATTAAATTATTTATACATATCGTGATATATCAAATATTAACTTTTTAAGAAGCAATCCGGGTATGTAAATGACGTACGAAATTCATCGATTGTGCAAATTGAGTTTAAAATAACTGTGATTCTTGGGTGCAAATATACAGCTGCATTAAATAAATCGTTTTCGAAGAGCTTTGACTTTCTCTTATTTAAACTTGAAAGTAAAGAAACTCGAAGCTCACTGCGTGGAAGGTTTTCAACTTGAAGTATAATATCCATTATAATTATATATAAGTCACTATAAAGCAATTTTTCAGACTGTAACTTAACTATAACAGTATAAAAACTTTTGAATATTTTCAAAAATTCTGGTATAAAATTCCACTCTTCGTGACTAATTAAAAGGTCAGTATTTTCCAAACTCAATGAGGTAACAAACTCTTTTAACTCGTATAAATTTTCGATCATATTATATGTTGAATTCCACCTTGTAACGCAATCTAAGACAGATATCTTGTAGGCACCACTTTTCAAGATATTCAGGTATATTTGGCATCTTAATTTCTTTATAACACATCTGCATTTTTCTATTGTATGCCTGGTTTCCTCTTTATTTAAAACATCATTTACGCAAAGTTGCAGCGTATGGGAGCCACATCGGATGCTAGCTATTATTTGTGAACGAAAACTATTTTCAATCAATATCAAACTGTTTTCTGTTAAGTCGTCTTTTTGATCATTTCTTAGGTCTGCGTTTAAGTCATGTACCGCCTTTACCATGTTTGCTCCATTGTCTGTTGTTATGGTCAATATTTGGTTTATGTCGATTTTATAATCATTTAGGACTTCTAACTTTACAGACTTTAAGTAATGACCTGTATGTCTCTGCCTGAGCTCTTTATTTGCCAACGTTTGACTTATAATGGTTTCATTTTTTATATATTGCACATTTATACCGATCACGCTCAGATGTTGCCGCGTTTTAACGATAATAAGCGCCCTTTAAGTTCTTCAGTTACTGTGGATT